AAGGAAAATTTTCTTATAGTTCAAACTAATTAAAAGAAAAAAAAATTAAAATTATAATCTAATAGTTTAAACTATTATAATCTAAAAATTATAATCTAATATTTTAAACTAATCTTACTATAAAAAAAATAAAGAGAGTATAAACCGTTAAAAAAATGGAGAGAAAATAAAATTAAAACTAAAATATGTAAAATATGAATGATAAAACAAAACATATTCTATAAATTGAAAAACAATAAATTTATAAAGCATATGGAAATAAAAGTTCTTATTAGGATGCACTCAACATAGGCAAGACACGTAAACAAAATTATAATTCACCAGATCAGAACTGTAGATGCATCAAAGATGGCAACTAAGGATCAAAGAAGGTGTAAGGACTCCTGTGCTACATAGAAGATGAGCAAAGATGAAGTCAGCGTCACACGTGTGAAGCCAACATCACACGTGTGAATGTCACGTGTGTCTTGAACCATGAGAACGCAAGTGGGAGAGATCGTGCAGAAGGTTGGTTCAACTAACAAGGAAGTGACCTTATGCAAAAGCCAAAAAGCATAAGGTTGGCGCATTGCACAAAGTGAAGTGATAGGTGAAACAGTGTTTCTCTGCGCAAGAACAGTGGATTGTCTGCTGGTCCGAAGCACGCCTCTTCAGAAATATTGGTTAGTGGAGAACCAATACAACGTGACTGTAGAGGAGGTTTCGAAAAGCAGTTCTTCTTGGAAAAAATCAGGAGAGAGATCGAGAGAGTATGCTTGCATAAGAACTCAAGAACAAAAAGGGTGTGAGGAATAAACGCAATCTGTTTTGTCTGGGTAGATTAGGAACTGGTGTAGAACACAAATCTTGGTCTGTAAGATGTTGTGCGTTCACGGGTAGACTAGGTTAAGAGTTGTATCCCATCTCTGTAAGAGTGAGTAATCTCATGCAACCGGAGTTGCTTGTAGCAGTGCTACATCTGTATTAATGAAAGGTTTTTAGTTTGCCTTGAATACTTCCTGTTGGTTCGAGTATCTGTGTTTCATCTTTGGCTTCTCCTACATTTACAAGAACACGTGGCTAATATTGATCAAATAATGACATGTATTAACATTTAAAAATTGATTAAGAAAAGAGAAAAATAAAAATGGAAAACGGAGAAAATAATTGTTAAGTAACTAACCAAATTGTAAAAAAATGTTCTTAGAGTTCAAACTAATTAAAAAAAAAAAGAAGAAAGTTTATAACAGTCCAAAGTAACTAGATAAAAACAAAAATCTAATAGTTCAAGGTAAGAAACAAAATAAAGAGTATAAACCGTAAAAATAAAAAAGTTGATAGAAAATAAAAATTTCAATAAAAAAAAATAATATGCGAGTGACAAAACAATATATCTTATTATATAAATTAAATTGAAAAAAATAGAAAGGATATAAAATTTTCAATTTAAAAGTTTAAGATATGGACAACCATATCAATGAAACAAAAAAAAATCTATAAGCATATTTATTTGATCAACATAGTTATAAAATAAAGAAATTTTTAGATATGCCACTTTGCAAAAATGTCACTTTTTCAAAATTATTTACTCAAAATATCATTTATGTTTGGGTTAACTATGTTGTA